TTTTCTTATCGTCCCCATGAGGAAGGTCCCCACAATGTATGTGTAAACAGATTTGTCTCACAGTGTGAGAAATACACACGCACACCCAACCCTTCAGAAACACAAACATATTTGATAATACAAGTTTTTAAATGAAATCTGTTTAAACTTGAGACTTATATTTGTTTTTGAAATATAAAATGTCTGCAGTAAAAAGGAAAATAAAGGACATTATGAGATGAAATAAATAATTAAAAGGCATAGTTAGAAGCTGAAAACAAATGGAAAGGGGGGGTAAAATAAGTGGCCAAGAGGGAGAGAAAAGCAAAGCAAGGACTAGTGCAAAAATGGAATGAACAAAGATGGGAAAATTATATAAGAAACCACCCTCGCGTGACAAGTGTCCTCATCATGGACTGGAAGACTGTATTGCTGTCCTCCAGCACGCCTCCAGGCCTTAGCCCAGTTGGCTGGCACAGTTATGTAGAGAGAGTTAGAACATCATTGACTCCCACATTCAAAGAGGGAGGAGGCATGGGAGTGGAGCACCTTGTAAGAGATGGGAAAAACCTAGCTTGAGGAAGATGAGAAAGTCATCTGGAGAGAGGAGTGTTATGAATAGAGTAGAATGAGAGAGGGAATGTCAAGGGGAAAATGTAAAATGCTAGTAAGTAGTGTGGTGCACGAGTAGGGTGGAGTGCGAAGAGAAAAGAAGAAAACAGAGAGACAGAGAAGAGGAAGAGAAGGAACAGAATGTAAGGATTAAGGAGAGCCCCTGGTGGAATAGGAAGTCAAATTGCCAGCTCTTCCTTTGGCATATGTCCTTGCCTGTGGGTGCACCTAAGGACCAGGGAGAGGGCAGCTGGTCCTTAATCCACATCCAGGCCAGGACGTGCCAACAGTAGCAGAGTCATGCCAATGCCAGCAACTGTCTCTCTGCGTAGAATCGCATGTCAAGTTGACCCTCGGTGGATTCTCTTTAAGTAAAAGTCTTTTGATTATGAAATAACTGAATCACTGCTTTATTGATATGAAAATTATCCAGAGAAAAGTAATACTTTATGGGATCGTTTTAATAGGTTTTGTAAACAAGCATAATTTCTTAACTAAAGCTTATGTGGAAATGATCATTTAAAATTATAGTACAGGATGTACTCTAGTTCTCAGGCAGTATGGTTTTCAAGTGATCAGTCACACTGAGTGGTTTATTACCTTCTTGTTGTTCTGTTGCTGGAAGCCTGGTCTCCCAAACACTTAGCAGACAGTGCAGATAAGTTCATTTATTCTATGCTCTCATTATCCAATGACAGGCAGCATCTTCTTGATGTAATCACTGGTCATTACAGAAAGGCATTAATTCTGTTATTTACCACAAACTTGGTATAACGTATTTATTCTATTGTCTGTGTCTGTGAGACACACAGCTGAACATTAACCAGATATGTACAATTACTAGGTGAACATGGGCCAGTACTTTGATTGAGTTTAAATGATTCATGAGATTTTCGATGACTTTCTCTGTAACCCTCTCTCTCAGCTGGAACCTTTGGTTCACAGCAGCTGCAGCCAAAGGGACACGAGTCTGAATGGATCAGTCTTCAGTGTTACTTACAATATTTCATTTGTACTTATTTCAAGAGTATTGAGCTGCTCCAGCAATCACTGAAAGCAGATCTATCTCTTACTAGACAGATGAAGCTTTTAATTCTCAGCCCAATTTTCACAGAAACCAATGAATTCTGCTTCAGGTGATGTAGAAACTACCAAGCACACAAAAAAGTGAAATCTTAATATTGTTGATCACAACCAAAGTGAAATCAGTTTTAATTTTTATGTTGCCAAAATTATAAATTTGCCTCTATGTGCATTACAGTCTGTACATGATACAGAATAACACCCTATGTTATTACTTCCTCAGTTCAAATAAGGAAAAAGCCCAATAAACCTTTAGCTGACATCAGCAGAGGCTGGATCCCTCTTCCAGGTCAGACAGGCATGCAATGCATGTCAAATGCACATAGTCGACAGGAATGAAATATTTTAATAATATTAAGCTATTTTGTTATTCACTGCATGAAAATATTTGTTTAGACTTTGTCAGTCACCTTCCAAAGGCACATTTATATAATGTATTAGCATTCTCTATCAAAACCTCGTTAGCAGGTGGAGCAGTCATTAGATGGAGAATGCGAGTGCCCCAATTCCAACAAGTCATTACTGTGATTAACTACACTGCCAATACAGAATCTTTCTCAACACATTGCTGCAAGTGCCAAGTGGAGAAAACAACAGCAAGAAAGTCAAATTCAAAGCAATGAAATGTAAAGCTTTCTAATCTTGGATGGAGGGTTGTGTAGACACAGAACAGCAAGCCTGCAGTCAATCTATTTTTGGGGCCAATAGCATGCACCGAAGGTGTCTGCTTTGCAGCAAGTCAGAAGCATGATGTTTAGTGTACTTTTGACATACTGTGTCACTGTTGGCTTTGTGTACAGTATGTGTGCATGTGTATATGTGTGTGTTAGAGAAAGGGAATGTACTGGGCAAGCTGTTCTTTTGCTATGAGTGTAAGTGTCAAGGGTACTGTAGGTACTATATACTGTAGATGTCACCTCAGTACCAATTAATAGGGTTCTAAATGAACCAAAATGAACCTGTTGTACAGTGGAACAACATGAAACTGATCTGTGTTCCACTTGCTATTCTTCAGAGAATTATTTTGCACAAAGTAGATGTAAAAAATAACGCTACCCTGGGCATAGTTTGTAACTTTCTGACATTATCTGAGCAAACAATTAATTCATGGAAAAAATGATTGATTGGCAGATTAAATAACTTGTTTCTTGGTTCCCAGTTCTGAAAAGAGTTGAACTCTTCTTCTATCAAACAAACATGAATATCATCTTGAGAATGTGTGATTTTGTGTGGAGGCAGGCTATGACTAATGAGAGTAAGGACTACACACTCTCAGATGTGTCCAGACTCATGAGCATCAATGTCACTGCAATGGCCAGTGTGTGTGATAGTGTAGTGTATTGACTAAATGGAAATTTGTTTCTTCACAATAACTGAAAAATAAGAAAGTGGATTTTCAAATAAGGATGGATAGTCATGCTATCTGCTTTACTGGTTATGTTTCTGTGTGATATTTGGGGAATAAGAGTCAGTAAATGAAGTGCAGCTTGGAAAATACTAATAAACATGAACTGGAAAAAAAATGAAAAAGGAATGAGAAAAGATTGGAGGATGTGTGAAGTGAGATGAGTGAGAATCTTATAAGAGAACCAGAGCCAAAGAGTAAGAATCCCCAAGTGGTGGAAAGAGCACCCTCTTTTTTCCCAAGTCTCTTCCTCAAGTGTGCTTTGCCCAGTGTAACTATGGCAACGCTGAGTCTTCCACACGCTGACCACATGCACTAGCACATACAGTAAGCGTGTACACAGTTGATCTTTCTCTCACAGACACACACACACAAACAGCCACGTGCACAGATTTGAGCAGATATCACATGCACACATAACCTACAATAAGAGGCCTTACTGTTAGCTAGTGATAAACACACTCCAGCTCAGAGAGGCAGAGAAATTGCTCCTCTGACATCACAGACTGTGTAACATGTCTCTACAAATCGTTAGCAAATTAATCAGCACAAATTTTGATAATTAATGGTTGTTTTCCAATTGAAAATGACAAATACTCTGGTTCCAGCTTTGCTTAAATACAAAGATTTGCTGAACCCCTTCAGAAAAGATTTAAGATTCAAGATCTTGAAGGGGTTCAGTCTGACAGAAGGTGGTTGAAAGCTTTCAATGAATGAATTTCAACTATCATTTCCAGGCTCTGCTTTATTCTTTTCTATTCCTGGCTCATACTGAATACAGTGGACAAAGAAGTGAAGACTTTTCCTAACATTTATACTTCCTTCCTATACTACAGAACCCCTCTCGAATGTGATCGGGAAACTAAACATTACATAAACCCTTCTCAAGTTCCTGTGACTTGTTTTTGTTTTTGTTTTTCCAGCATGCTGTATAGACCACATCTGTCACAAGCCACGCAGTGCTATTCTATATGTTTGACTTGAAACCACTAGACTTTATCCTAATGGTTCCACATCAGACAAGATGCCACACAACTGCTCTCACACAGTGAAGTTAACTGCTCAGGGAGAAAAACAATGCACGGTCTAAAAGAATACATGTGAATATGAAAATAATTAGAATTAGAAACTCACCCAACATTCTTTGTTTCCTGACAGTACATTGAATAGCTTTGACTTTTCAGACCAAATAAGCATGTTTTAGTGTATTCTCAAAATAACTGAGTAAGCACTTAATGGAGAAATATGCTGCACATTAATTAATAAGTTGCAGTCCTAAGATACAAAGCACTAATAATCATATCAGAACCCATTTTGTAACATGCATAAAGTACTGTATACTTAAAAAAAACACATCCCAAGCTGTGTTTATTGTTCATGGTCCATGTAGACGTGTGGATATGTTTACTGAACCATAGAAAAACACGGTTCCAAATGTATAATTACAGATTGCAAAGGTTTGAGCAGTGTGCCTGAAATAAGAACATCCAAATCTGATTCTATCTATCTCATCTCGTATCCTCCCACACAGAAGAACCCTTTCCCAAGCTAGCTGGGTAATTATCACTAGCAGCTATTTCTAGCCTTATATCGGTCACATTGCACTCAAGAAATGAAAGTCCCATTCACTGAATGAGTCACAAAACAAACAATAACGACTATTTGTTCCTTGAATGCGTCCAATTAGAGACTTGACTCTCTTTAGAAGGATTGTTTTTAGTTTCTACATGAGAAAACAGTTCTAGATGAAGTAAAAACATTCAAGAGTTAGATGATGATGGCTTAGGTTGAAATGATATAAAGGGTAAAACTAGAACAAGCACAGATAGATATAAGACAGCAAATTCATATGCACTGCATCAGATATTGGTCTGAAAATAAAACTGAACATCCAACATTCTCTTCCTCTGCCTCTCTCCAGCCTCCAGATAAGGAAGGAGGTCTGCCGAAGCAGATGGGCAACAAGACAGAGTGTGGCCTGCTGGGATTGGTCTTGGGCCTGAAGCGAGATTACCAACCAATAAGAAACCAGATCCCAGAAGAGAAGCTTTACAAAGTCTACACCTTCAACTCTGTCAGAAAGTCCATGAGCACTGTCATCAAATTGCCTGATGGGAGCTTCCGCATGTACAGCAAAGGAGCGTCTGAGATAGTCCTCAAAAAGTGAGTGGTTTTGTGATTAAAATGAGATGTTTGTTTTGTAGTTTGTATCCAGGAGGAATGTTCTAAGTTTTTTTTTTTAGATTTCAGCACTAAGATTTTGACATAAGATACAATTTGTAAAAGTGATATTGACTGACAATACCCTCATCCCCACCACTTTTCAACTACTGTTAACTACAGATGCAACCATATTCTGAATGAGGTGGGTGAGCCGAGGGTTTTCCGTCCACGGGACAAAGATGAGATGGTGAAGAAGGTGATTGAGCCCATGGCATGTGATGGCCTGAGGACCATCTGTGTGGCATACCGTGACTTCACCAGCAATCCTGAGCCTAACTGGGAAGATGAGGGCAACATCCTCAATGACCTCATAGCCATCTGTGTCGTTGGAATAGAGGACCCTGTCAGGCCAGAGGTAGGAGAGTGGGAGATATACTGACAGAAGTGGATGTTGGGCAAAGCAGCAGCTTTATCATTTGTGTCTTCTGGCCACAACTTTGAAGCAGTGCCAGTTCACCTAAAAGTCTATGATATTTATTTTATTTTATTTTTACCTTGTGAGTATCACTTCTGTGCTACTTGTATCGGCTGCTGTAACAATGTAATCCTCCCTCAGGAATGATCTGTTCTATAATTAGCTTTTCCATAGATACATTTGTGTAGGTATTCTTGTTTTTCTACATACAGTTCTGTAAAGTTCGAGACAGTTGACCCAAGAGACAATCTAGAGATGATAGACAGCAAAGTCAGTTACAATTTATATGTTAACACCATGTTAATAAGACATAGTAAACAATGTGGACAGGTGCCTGCATCAAACACAGTAAGACAGGCCATATGTGTATGCCATATAAAAGTGATAAGACTGCTGTATGATGTACACACGTTTGAAAATAGCATGTTTTCATATATTACCAAATGTTTTTTGCATAGAAGATATCCCGCTGATGCAAAAAGAGACATTACAACTATATAGTATAACATAAATACATTTTATGTTGTGAAATGCTTACAGTGTATATAGGTGGATTGGTGGAGGTTATAATTCAACAAAAAATTATTTTCATGCCAAGCATATATCTATGAGATACTGTATGGAGAGAGGTTTAGGCAAATAAGTAACACAAACAAACAGAAGTGAATTCAGAGGTTACAGGCTAGAAGAAAAGTACATTTGTGTTTTTAGTGAAAGTATTGTTAAAGAGAAGTAATACAAACTCCTAATTATGTCAGGGTCGGTGAGTAAAACTGCCAACAATATGGAAGGTGAACTCAATTATAATGCCAGACAAGATAAAACAGATAGCTTTCTCTTTACTGAGCATAAATCACAGCGTACAATGTGGAAGTCCAAAAAACACAATCAAGTCAATGATACCAGTCCAGGGTCAGTGCCAGCAAACCATCACAGCCAAGGGATCCACAAATGAGAGGTCAGAGAGGGAAGTCTCACTCAGAATCAAGAGGGTAAAGCAGTACTCGGTGGTCAAAAGGCAATCCGGGGTCAGAACAGGAATAACAGGTAAATAACGCTGGAAAGTCTGAATGGGAGTCTAGAACAATCTGGCAGCTTTCCAGTGGGAGGAAGCTGCCTATAAAGGGGTAAAAACACGTGCAAACAATAAATACTGTTTATGGTAAAGAGTCCGTAGCTGAGGTGAGATTGTAAAAGGAAGTGATTTCAGAATAAAAGCATGAGACCGGAAGCAGGCAGGACAGAATCATGACAAATTATGCAAGCCTCTTTAAAAACAATTCTTTATCTTTGGAAATTTTTTTATTATTATTTATAGTTGACAACTACTACTTTATTAAAAGAAAGCTTTCAATATGTAATTCTAGACCAACCCTCAGTTTCCTCTTATATGCAGTGTTCCTAGAATTTTCTTGAATTTCAAAGCCTGGGGTTGTTAATTAGCCTATTATTCAGTTAACCAACAGATTTAAACATAAACATTTCTATGGATTTTAGTTACATCACACTAGCTCCTTGTTTTAATTATTCCCATGAAATCATCTTTAATTATATCAAAAGTAACTGAAACCTTTGGATTTGATGTTATTTCAGTGAGGAACGCTCCTCTATTTATGTTTAGACATTTGTGAGTTTGTCTTTTCTGTTGACTTGCACAATATCTCTGTACTGATTATCATGTCAGATCTAGAAATGTGGAGCAGTGAACAAAGCAGCAGGAGCCTGGTGACAGCAGCAGCCTGTACAATGAGCTGACAGAAAGAGATTGCATCCTTTGAAAAGCCTGACATTAGGGTGTGTGTATGATCAGTTGCTTCACTGATGAGCACTTCACTAGATGATCACCGAATCATGAAAAGCAAACTTCAGACTTGTCCGGTCAGCTTGAACCTGCTCGGGATATCTGCTGTTTTCATATAGTGCTAACATTTTTAACATGCAGTTGCTACTTATGTGTTGCGGTTACCATATTAAATATTGTGAATAGAGTATATGTGGCATTACATACATTTTATTATATTAATGTATTTACACTGGATACTCAAATCTATAATTCTTTGGTGAGACACAGTTCTAGTATTGTGCAGCTGCTGAGTGAGATGCTGTATGTTGGTGTGAAGCTGTTAATCCAAAAGCCTTTATTTGTTTTGAAAAGGGTGAATTCTTAAAGGTCACAGGTGGGTAGTACAGTGGCTCGGCACATTTACTGAATGATTCTCCTGTATTTTACTGTAAAATTTCCATGTTATACTTTTACTCTGCTATATTTTAGACAGAGGTGCAATTGTTACTCCACTAAATTTACATCAGAGCAATGGCTCCAATTCGTTTGCAGATGAAGATTTTACATTCAGCATAAGCTAAAATCAAAATGTCACTGCTGCTTAATAAAAATCTTTCAGTCACTGCTGAGGCATTTGACTACAACAGGAAAGCTTATACATCTTTCACCACTTAAATGTGTCTAAAACATAGTAGAGAACTTGTATGTAATTTCCTACATTCTTGGAACGCCGATATCAGACACTTTTCATGGACAGTGAAAAAATAAAATTTGCCAAAAACTATGTTTTAAACAAGCTTGTCAGCAGTTTTGAGGGACAGTTTTAGAAAGACAAAGTCTCAACCTGCAGATGAGTATATATGCATACAAATGGAGACCAAAATGGAGACAAGTGGAACCCTGCAAATTTGGAGACATGATATGAGGTTTTCACCTGATTTTGATGATTATGACGATTATGTTAAACTAAAATAAAATAACTAAAATAATAGTTATAAAAATAACTGCATATATGCATACGTGTTTAGGTTTTTTAATTTAACACTCTGAAAGTAACCATTCTTTGCAATGATTTACTTTTGATGCATGCGTACAGTTTGCTGCTAATACTTGTTTACATATTGCTTAATTCTTTTAATAATTGGCTCTGATTTAATTGGAGCATGTTTGTTGACCTTTGCTTGTAATTCAGTATTTCTTCCCTTGTCTTTTTTGCATATAAAAGCTGAAGGTGAAACAGTCAAATGAAACATTTCAGAAGTTAAAGGAGGACTAAAATATGGATAAAGAAAATTTAGTGAAATATTGTATCTGTGAACTGGCCTCATTTGTCAGCTCCTGTGCAGGTACAGAGAAGCAGGAAACTCTGACTACTGCATTATTCACCTTCCTCCTTTCATCATTTTTTCCATTCTCCTCCTCACATAAACACGGTCCCTCCCCATCATGCTTTCTCCACCTCTCCCTGTATTGTATGGTTTGACTTGCACCTTTCTCTGGTTGCTTTTTTTCACGTAACTTTTTCTACACTTTCCTTTCTCACCTTTCTCTCTTTATATGCATGAATCTGAACTAACCTAGATTTTTACAAGTACAAAGAGGAAAAGCAGAAAAGCAAACACAACTTCCTCAAAATGAACAAGCAACAAATGAGTTGCATGTTGCATATGCAATAAAAGCTCTTTTTGCAGATTTAGTAAAAATTGTTACTAATATGTGAAACTTTAGACATTAATGTGGGCCCTTGCATTGCTATGTTCCTTTTCTTCCATTAAAGGAGTTTCTTAACACCTGACATTTCAAATAATTAATGTGGAAAAGCAATGCACCAAAAACTGCTGCACTCCACTAACATCTTTCCAGGCCTCTTAGTAAGACTAGCTAATACTTCAAATTAAGTGACTTTCTGCTCTGCTAAAAAGGTCACACAGAATGGTAAACATGTTTTTAGTTTGTTTATTAGTCTCTAATTTCTTTCTCCCAAACGTGATGTTCTTTTAATAATAAGTGGCTGCTCTGCAGGGTTGCCCCCAGAGAAACTAACCAGCAGAGAGGAGGGAATGAGTGGGGGGAAGGGAAAAGACAGAGAGAGCTAAAGAAAGAGAAAGATAAACAGATAGAAAATCAGATTCATGTCAGAGGAATGACAAACTGCAGGAGGAGGAAGATGGGTAAGGAGACAAACGGAGGAAAATGAGAATGTAACCAGATCCATATGAGAGACATGAGATGCTTGTTTTTTCAGTCTCACCTTTTAGCCTCCTATCCTTTTCCTCTAGTGGCCCTGATTGTATTTTTAATAAGCGTCCACTCTTCTCCTCTCCTCTTGCCTCCACCTCCTCTGATGACCAGTCAGCTACAGAGCAAAGGAGAACAAAACAGACAGCACGGACAAGATATAGGCAGACGGAAACTTGATATCCTACCAAAAGTGACTCACTGAGAGCAGAGCAGGCAGAATGTACAGTAATAACTTGCTCTTCTTGCCACAATATTTACTGTATGAGCTTCTTTACCTTGCCAGATCCTGTCATTTAAAAATAACTACTATGATTTAATTTAGTTTGTGCTTTTTATTTCATCTGTCAATTTATGTTATTGTAACACAACATCGACTAATGCTAATATGCTAAAGTGAATATTTATGAACATCAGCGTTGTCACAGTGGTGCCCTCAGACTTGATTCTCTGTAAACTCCATAAAAAAATTCAATCCCATAACTACTAAAAAACAAATCCATATATTCACAGGACTATATACAAAGAAAAACAAAATTATCAAAGTTACATATGCAACTAATCAATTAGTTCAGGTCAAACGCATAATCTTTAATCACTAAAAAGTGTTGTACCTTAATTTATTTTTAGCTGCATCTGGCTGTTTTGCAGGTCAATTGAAAGATTTTTATCCTTACTGAATTCATTGCACCCAGGAGTTTTTTGTTGTCATAGCCTTTTGTGGCACAGTATGAGCAGTAGTATGTGGCAGCTAATGCTAACAAACTTGAGCTAAGTATTTTTGTATAACAGATGTTACTGATCCACTTCTCTCTGCATGTGCTACTTTTATAGTATGTTTTAGTATATGGTATTATATCCTAATTTTCACCTGTGGCTGCTGTTGAGAAAGTTTGAAGTTTTGATTTAACTCTAGCATGGTGAAGCAGTGGTTAGTGCTGTCACCTCCCAGCAAGAAGGTTCTGGGTTTAAGCCCCAGTTGACCTGCTGGCTTTCTATACTCCGGCTTCCTCTCACCTTTAAACTGCCTGTAGGAGTGAACGTAGTTGTCTCTATATAAGTGTCAGTTCTGTGAGAGATTGGGGACCTATCCAGGGTGTACGTCGCCTCTTGCCTGTCAGCTGGGATTGGCTCCAGCACCCTCACAACCTTCTTCAGTATAAGTAGTATAGATAAATGCACAGGCGATTGTGATAATAGAAATAATTTACTCCTACAGCATGTGTTGTGCTTCTGTTTGTAAGTATAAACATGCTCCAGTGTACATGTGTATTAAGTGTGCGTGTCTGAAGTGGAAAGTGTGCATGTTGCTGACTCTATGTGTACTGTACTGTGTGTGTGTGGTAGTTAATATGCATATGTCAGAGAGAGTGTGTATGTGCAAATGCATGTGAGTTGCTGTTACTGTATGTGTACATGTTTGTTTTTGTGTGGGTTTGAAGAGCAGTGCTTGCCCACGCTGACCTTTGTCAGGAAGAAGATGTGATTCTGAATTAATGCTGTGCTTTTGGCTTTTACTAGCTGGTTCTACCACAGATCAATCTCTGTACAGCAATATCCCCGGTTAATCAACTAGATTTCTGTCTGGAGGGAAAATGACTCATCAAATGCTTTATTATACGTCTTGCTAATACAAAAAGGAACAATAACAGCAGTATACTGTTCTGATATAACTATAATGAAATTGGATTTTTCTGTATGTCTGTGGGTTGTATGTCAAGGCCTGGAGTATTTGTGCTATTAATATGTTCTAAAAGTACCTATAATATCACATGACTACTTTTATGTGAAAGTAAGACAATTAGCATATAACTCTGCAGTTCTACTGATTTTTTTTTTGCAATTTTCAACTCATTGTTTTGGTTTTTTGGCTTATAACATTACTGTTTTGTTTTAGTCTCACTGCTCTTATAGCGTTGTTTTTAGCAGCATCAGAAAACTGTTTTCAGTGATAAAGCTCTAAAAAACCACCACTCTACCTGCCCAGCGTCAAATAGCAGAGAGTTTTTTGCAGCTAAAGAGAAAGATATTAACCTCAGGTATTAGTGTAAACCACAGAACCAAAACTCCAAATAAATGCTCCTCTGCACACTATGTGCTTGGTGTGTAAATACAATAGGCAAGTGTTTGCTTATAAATTTGCCATATCAACTTCGAAAGCTTCAAAAGTGATACTACTGTATGTTTACTGTTATGATCACAGCTTGTTTCCGCTTCCCATATGTGCTCAAATGTGTTTGTGTATCACTTTTCAGGTGCCTGATGCCATCCAGAAATGTCAGCGTGCAGGCATCACAGTGCGCATGGTCACAGGAGACAACATAAACACAGCCAGGGCCATAGCCATCAAGTGTGGTATCATCCACCCTGGAGAGGACTTCCTCTGCATTGATGGCAAAGAGTTCAACAGGAGGATTCGCAACGAGAAAGGAGAGGTACTGTAAAGAGCGAGCCAAAGAGTGAGAGAGGCTGAGGGAAGAGACATGAGACTAGAGAAGAAAATGAAAACAACTTAAACTGCAACCACTTGCCTTTCCATTTGCATTTGTTTGTTTGTGTGTATGTATGTGTGGGTGCGTGGATGTGTACGTCCAGGTGGAGCAGGAACGTATTGACAAGGTTTGGCCTAAACTCCGAGTTCTGGCCAGATCCTCCCCAACTGACAAACACACACTCGTCAAAGGTGACTTGGTTGCATGCACACATACAAAGATCATATGGAGATGTGTTGCGTTCCCTCATTTCAGACTGTGTAATCAGGGTATGTGCATTGTTGCATGTGTGTATGGATATTTGATAGGAATTATTGACAGCACTCTGGCAGACCAGAGGCAGGTGGTGGCTGTGACAGGAGATGGGACCAATGATGGACCTGCTCTTAAGAAAGCTGATGTCGGCTTTGCCATGGTAAGCAGCCCATCATCTGTGTTTTTCCTGTGTGTATTTTTCTTGCTTGCTTGCTATCATGTGATACTGAGCTCAGTCAGCATCGGCAGATGTCTTCTTCTCCTCTGAAGTATTTTGCATTTCTTCTCAGGCACTCTGCCTCTGGCTGTGTAGATTAGGAGCTCCCCCCAGTGGAATTTATGCTCTCACAGTGTTTCCCTTGGTAGAGTGCTCAGACTTTTCAAACAACAGCCTGCTTAAAAATACAAACATAAGCAAAATATTAATTTTGTTCTTTGTGTAACTCACAGTTTAATATATTTGATATTTGGCTGTTTTCTGTGATTCACGTCCCCTCTTCAGTTAACTAATTTGTAAAATCCACAGCAACATTTATTATTTAACCCTGTACTGTAAAGCAGTGCCTCCCAGCCTGTATTGTTAATATAAAGTCATTTTACACTAGACTTTATTTAACTATATCAGCTGATATTAGTATTGACATAGTTATTTTTTTACAAGACATATGGGTCCTGTAACTGTTGATAACTGTTGATATTTATTCATAGTTTTGATCAAGTTTGCACTACTTCTTCTTTGAGCAGCAGAATCTCTTGCTAGTTAGCACATTTGCTAACTACCTTTGATTTACATTGAATCACAGCATGCAGTGTTTTGATTTTGTTTTTTAGGACTGTGTTCTATAGCTGGTAGTTAATTGGTTATTGTTACAAAAATGTGCTAAAGAGCAGCCTCACATTATTTTGTAATCATATCTGTGTGTATATGATGCAAATCATAATTTCTGTTTTGTTTGTGCTCTTTTTTTTTTACATTTCCTGGCCTATCCCAGGACTAGTCTTTCCATATACATCCCTAGCAACAGCAGCACTTCCCAGTAATCCTGATTCCTGTTTGGGCTTATGCTAGTAGTAGCCACAGTATTTGGCTGACTATGAGAAACCACCAGTGAGGTCCTATAACAATGATTGTGAAATTTGCTTCTTCTACTTGTGTGTGTATCTGCTGTGTTGGGATGACAACTCCCCAGGCCAATCTCTCAGCCCCTAATGAAACACTTCCACATGGGTTAATTTAATGGAACATGGTCTCAAACTTGTGTTCACGTAGCATTTTTATCCTCTCCCCACTGTCGGCCACAGAGTTGAAAGAGTGCCCTCTGATTGCATCCTGCCAATAACACCACATAACATGACAGAATATCAAGAAGTATGACCTGCTTCTTTAATGGATATGTTGCCTCCTGCCATCAAACCACTGCTAACACACACACACTCACTCCTTAATTAGTTTATATCATCATTATTTGTCATCAGAGTCGACTTGTGTCCGGAGTTTCTTGTTGCACTGTGTTGCAAAAGATGATCAGCAAATTAGGAACCACCACAGTTGTGTATTAGAACCAGATTGTCTTTCTGACTACACCTTGTCTGCACTCTTCCAGGGTATTGCTGGTACAGATGTGGCTAAGGAGGCGTCAGATATCATCCTGACCGATGATAATTTCAGTAGCATTGTCAAAGCAGTGATGTGGGGTCGGAACGTCTACGACAGCATCTCCAAATTTCTTCAGTTCCAGCTGACTGTCAATGTTGTGGCCGTCATAGTAGCTTTCACTGGCGCTTGCATCACACAGGTGTGTGAGTTTATTTACATGATGGGGTGGAGGAGATGAACAACTTTTCATTAATAACTATGTACCACCAAGTTCCTGTAGGTAAAAATGGAGATACTAGCGATATTGGCAAATCATGACAAAAACACATCATCTTTATAAAGCATACTATAGTGTGTATAATATTACATCTTAGGAAGCTTTAACTCATGTATGATATTTAACAAAAAGTGCTAAGATAACTAGATTTTTTTATTAATCTGTAAATATTAGTAATAATACAGTACTAGAAAATATTAATGAAATAAACGTATTTTTAAATTGTTTTGCTTAAACCCCAAACAAGCAGAAGTAAAGAAGTAACTCTTACTTGCAAGCTTTTTCAACAATTGCCTTATATGTATAGAAGTTACTGGTTATATTTTTCAATTTCTGTTGCATTCCCCCAGGACTCTCCCCTGAAGGCAGTGCAGATGTTGTGGGTGAACCTGATCATGGATACATTTGCTTCCCTGGCTCTGGCGACAGAGCCTCCCACAGAGTCTCTGCTGAAGAGGAAGCCATATGGTCGCAACAAGCCTCTCATCTCCAGCACCATGACAAAGAACATCTTGGGACACGGAGCCTATCAGCTCATCATCATCTTCACACTTCTCTTTGTTGGTATGGACTCTGCAATGTACCAGGGGTTCTGCATTTTATTGATGGGATACAGTATGGGTTCAAAGTTAAGGAAAAAAATGAACGCACTAACTGTTGGGGGGGGGTTTCCCTGTAGGTGAAAAGATCTTTGACATTGACAGTGGTCGTAATGCACCTCTCCATTCTCCTCCGTCTGAGCACTACACCATCATCTTCAACACGTTTGTCATGATGCAACTCTTTAATGAGATAAATGCAAGAAAAATCCATGGAGAGAGGAACGTCTTTGATGGAATCTTCAGGAACCCCATCTTCTGCTCTATTGTTTTTGGCACCTTTGCTGTGCAGGTAAGCCAAGACAATTTTTTTAATTTTCTGTGGAAAAACAACTGAAAGGTCTTTTTAATGAATAAGTCATTTCCCATTTTCTGTCTACACATTGTCATGGTGTTTGAGTCTGGCTTGTGCTTTGCTTTGTACAGATTGTGATTGTGCAGTTTGGAGGGAAGCCATTCAGCTGTCAACCTCTGGACCTGGAAAAGTGGATGTGGTGCATTTTCCTCGGCCTAGGAGAGCTTGTCTGGGGACAGGTAACATGCAAACTCATCTATTTCTCTGTCTTTGTATTTTCCCACTGTGCTTTGTTTCTTGTTTACCTCCTAGTTTGTCTTGTCTGGTTGTTTTGGCCTAATGCTCTGTCTTTTCTGTGGGTTAGGTGATATCCAGCATACCCAACAGTAGGCTACGCTTCCTGCGGAGGGCAGGCCAATTAACTCAGAAAGATGAGTTACCAGAAGAGGATGTAAATGAAGAAAATGAAGAAATTGACCACGCAGAAAGGGAGCTGAGGAGAGGACAGATCCTCTGGTTCAGAGGACTGAACCGCATTCAAACTCAGGTGAGAACACAAAGAAAGACACAAGTTCAACCCTCATGTGACGATTTGCTGTTTGATTTCACAGACAGATCTTATTGGATTGATTCTTCCTGAAAAAAAAAAAATTAAACAGGGTGACTCTTTAAAAGACCCTCATATCATATTATCATTTATAATTTTTTTTCCAATTAAGAGTAAATGCACACCAAAAGGTATAAATTCACCTGTGGCATTTTCCATCATGCATTTTTGTTTTACTGACTGTCTTTGTCACATAATCATTTTCCAATAGGAATTCACACCACCTCAGACATTACCAGAGATGCTTACTCCCAAGAAGAAATACTAGACTATGTTAAATGTTAGTTAGTAGCAGCCATAAGGTCATTTTACTTTCAAGATGACTTATTTAGGTGCACGAAGATGCTGCTTGTCCTTGGTGGACTTGATGCAAACACATCGGTGGACCTGTGGGGAATCGATGATCAAATCACAGAGTTACAGTAAACACAACTGGAAATAGTCCCTGATCTGTTCACACTGTGACAAACTCTGCAGACCATTATCACTGTGATATTCACACTAGTTTTTCATGTGTGTTGGATTTTGGTGTTTAATGATGTCATCTCACTGATTTGTCACTTATGGTCTAGGATGAAGCTCTCCCACGCTATGGTGCCATGGGCCAGTAACCCACAGAGGCAGCCAGAGCTACACATGTAGAACACCTTTGGGTTTTTTTTTAGTATTAAAGTAAAACTGTGTTTATTTATTTGGAAGAGGAAAAGAAGGCAAGCTATAGAATTTCAGCACAAAACATTCCTTGCAGGTTTCAAACTGCTTTCCTGGTTCACCCTTGACCTGCTTAGTATAGTTGCACACATGGTTTTTGTATATGTGACAGGGGATTCTTAGCGACAATGCACAGCAGGTGCACTCCTTTTCACTTTTAATGTAAAGTTGGTGGTTTAAAGCAGCAGCACATGAAATATTGGTGTAATATTTTTCGAGGTGAAATACAGTATGTTCCAAAACAGGGAAGGATTTGAGGAGTGGAGTGGTTTGCTTTTGAGCCTCACGCTATTGTTAGCAGGATTTCCAGAAGTTGTATTTTTAAGTAATCTGGTTGTCCTTGTTTATAACCTGTTTACTCATCTGAGCACTTGTGGCCGTTGGTCCATTGAATCAGAATCAGCTTTATTGGCCAGGTGTGTTGGACACGCAAGGAATTTAACTCTGGTACAGCGGCTCTCAATGTGTACGTACATCTCAACAAGCAAAGAATCTTTTCGTGGTGTTACTGCAATACAAGATGTCAGCGGTTTCTCTAATGTAGACAGTGAATTCACAAGCAATAGAAATAATGGCTGGAGCCACAAAAATAAGCTATAAAGTGAACCATCAATTCCTCATGTAAAATGACGTGAGATACCACAGAACATACAGTATTATACCTGGAATCATGTAAATGACTGCATTCGCACAATATATCATAAATTCCTATATCAGTTAGCCAGCCTTTGAAAGGTTACCCAAGTGGTGATTTATGGCCTTGAAGAGAGTTTTTATTATATTTATTTAGGTTTTAAGGTTTATACATGCAAAATTTCTACCTTCAGGTTACCAGTACAGTTGTTAGATAAGCGGAATTTTGTTCTTGGTTCTCACAGTATTGAAAAATTACACCTAAATAATTCAGCAACTACACAAACAGTGTCAACTGTTTTCTTGAGGATTATTTCTTTTGTAGAATGTAATTCTAATGAACTAGGAATTTTTCTAATGAATTGGAATTTTGGTGAATTTATCCTTGAAGTTAAATTCATCATTTCGTTGAAGGGATACTACACCCTGACCTTTAGGTGTCCCCACCCTCCCATCATGTCATGATTGAGACACTTTATACTCCCGTTACCACCAAAATCACCCAGCCAGTCAATCTGTGTTGCCATTTGTTCTGTGTCACTCTGAGCAGCCATTTGTCCTCTCCTGTCCCGCTCTCCTCCCACAGATTGAAGTAGTCAACACCTTCAAGAGTGGCACCTCCTTTCAGGGGGCCGGGGCTCTGAGACGCCAATCATCCACCACCAGCCAGACCCAGGATGTAACCAATGTTTCTAGTCCTAGTCACGTGTCCTTGTCCAATGCCCTTTCCTCTCCTACAAGCACTACTGCTGCTACTGCTCCTCCCACTACTGGCCGTGAGTCAGAACTCCGTCAGTCTGCTTCTCTGCTCTCTATGCTTCAGGGGTGCCATCCTGTCTCGACCAAAAAGTTTCTGCACACATTCTCCGGCTTTTTAGTCCTAAAACAAATGGTGACAATCTCAGTTTTGGGGGTTGGCATCTCTGAAGATTCATCTTTTTTTCTTATTGTCTTTCTTGCTTTTCTGCTTTTTTTCATTTCTCTTCCTTCTGTCGTTTTGCTGTTCATACTGGATTTCAAATTCATTTTGATATCTCCTTCCATGCTTGGTTGTATTGTCCTCTCATTGGTGGATGTGTGTTTGTTTCCCCAGAGTGCTAGGAGCGCAGGACTAAGGGTGATACCCACGGCGTGACATTTCAGGTTGTGAGTTTGTCTCCCTCTGCTCATCCCCATCCATCACCCCATCCTGCCCAGTTTTATGTCTTAACGGACATTAACGTGAACTAATTCCAATCGACTCACCAAGGGGCTGAGTAAACATTCAAGTATAAGTCGCACGATTGCCTTATTTCATCTGCGAGTTTGCTACTGATGAGTCAGACCACACTGATTTGACCTAAAGCTAAATTTACAAGCTATTTTATATATTCTGCTGCTCACACATCAGCTGCGATGACTAGAAATCATAAAGGAAGCTACAGTATGTGTGGCAATAACACCTTGCAAACAAGAGTTCATTTTAACTGAAATGGGAATCTGAAATGGTGCAACTAAGATCTACCCACCCTTTGCCTCTACTTAATGCTTTTGTCCACCTCCATAATCTTCTTTTTCTTGCTTTCTCTCTTGCTCTCTCACTCACTCACACAGACAGACACAAACTCACACACACACACACACACACACACACACACACACACTTTCAGACTTTTCTTGTCTCAGTTTAATCTTCATCTACTTAATGAAAATAAATGCTTCGGGTGTGTGGACAGGAATGGAAGGAGCAGGATTAACACCACAAAGCAGTACAGTACCAATAATTCATCCCGTCTTCACACTTCATACTGTTAGTGTAGTTGACTGTCATGTTGCCATAGTTACGGACATAGACCCTCTGCAGTGCTAGCGATGTAAATTCAACCTCCTACCCTTTTCTGACACCCCATCAGTGTTACTTGTCAGACATCCTGTCACATGCACTCATCCAAGCAGGCTCCTCTTATTATTTTCCTTATCTGTTTTGTCTCCTTATACACCACTCTGCCGCAGCATGACAATTTTAACACTATGTACATTATATATTTAAACTTCTGATATTTGTAGGGTTTCTCTGCACTATTAACATACATGTTAACAATACACTGGGGTATAACTATCATATATTTATTTATTATATACAATAATAAAATTCAAAATAACATTATTCTTTAGCTATTTTTTGTGTGTTTAAAAAGTATGTGATACTGCACATGCAGCCACAATTTGATTAAAACAACCTGAGATAATCTACTACCTAAGAAACGGATCCAGGCTGTTTAGTCTCACTACAGATTCACACAGATGTTCGGGGCTTATACTTGAGTGTTTACTTAGACGTGCATGGAGTTGAGAACATGCTTTTTTGACTGTCCAACCTCTCATAGTAAAACTATTATTTTCATTATTCACTCCCATGTGTTTTGTGTGAGCAGTCTGTGTGCTGGTTCACTTCCTCAGTGTCTTGTTGTCTTGTTGCATGTGGTTTGTGTTTACCTGTTGTTTATTTCTTGTGTTCATAATATGTTAACTTGTTGTGTTTGCTTGTTGTCTAAATGCCTTTTTTTTTCAAAATGTTTTTCTGATGGTTTGTTGTGAGTTTTACACTGCAGTGCTTCCTCATGCAGACTTGGTTCTCTCCATCGCCATGTTTGGGACCACGCTTTACCCACTCTGTGCTATTTCTGTGTGTTAGTGTGTTCCATTCAGAGTCTGTGTGGATACTGTCCCAGACAGTGCTCTGGTACCTCCAGAAGGTTTTAAACCATCTGATTGGATCTCTCAGATCTAACCTATTTCCTTCTTACTGACCTCGTCCACCAGATTTCTTCAAACTTGCATGAGATATTCTCTGTTAAAATTTTCTGTGAGCATTTCATTTATTAACATGGCTTGTTTCTAGGTATACAGCACATTGGACTAAAAGCGTATACTTACAACGAGCGTATGTGTCGCTTTGGTATTTGTTTTTCTTGAAATGTATGATTTTTATTGTGTTTTTTTATGATTGTGTTTCTCACGGTTTTCCTTAGTGCACGTCAAAGTTGAGTGACTTGTGAACTGTAGTCATCTTGTAAAAGCAGAACACAGACTGCAGTTGCCTCTTCTCTTGCTGCTTCTTCGCCTTCTCCTCCTCCTCCTCCTCCACCTCCTCCTTCACCTCTTTACCCTCAAATGAAGGGATTCTTCCTTCCCTTTTGTCTCTTCTCTCCCCCACTTCCCTCTTTTCGCTCATCCCAAGAGTCCCTGTAACTCTTCCATTTTGTCTCTGGCATTATCTCTCATTGTTGCTCTTCTCTTTCCTCCCTTTTTTATGACAGATCCGTGTTGTGAATGCATTCCGTAGCTCCCTCTATGAAGGCCTGGAAAAAACAGACTCCAGAACATCCATCCACAACTTCATGACACACCCCGAGTTTAGGATAGAAGACTCCACGCCCAACATCCCACTCATTGATGACACGGATGATGATTCTGCTCGGAGAAGGAGGAAGTACTCCAGCCAGCCGTCGTCCCCTAACAAGAACAACAACGCCATTGACAGTGGCATCAATCTCACCATCGACACCAGTAAATCAGCCGCTTCCTCCAGCCCCACTAGCCCTCTGCACAGCTTGGAGACCAGTCTCTAACCCCAATCCTGACCTCAGTTCTAATCTCTAACATCTTTTCCTTGCAGTCTGGGGGTGCCTGCTCCAAATCCTCCAGACATTTAACTGCTCCTTACACCTTGTCTTTCCCAAAATTTCACCCAGTCCAGCTGAAATCTCACCTCCCAGTCACTCAAACTCCAGTTTATCAGACACACAGGACAGGTCCTGTGGCAAAATGTTCATCTTTCCCCCAGAACCTTGAGCTCTTAAAGCTCTCTGCTCATCTCAAAATGGAGAAAATCTAAACTAATATGGCAAGGTGAAAAAACAAACTAACATACAATCAAAAAAGCGCAATGAAGCCACAAAACCTACACAGCCATCCTGCTTTTGTGGTTGTATGTGTATGGTGGCGATGGTTGTGTATGACTATATGCGTGTTAGCATGTATTGTATAAGCGTGCCGCTGACTGCACAGATGTATGAACTGTGATGATGAGGAGGGAGACACTGATGAGGAGTAAAACCTGACAGACTTCAAACTCACCTTACACTCCCTCTCCTCATCAAAAACATTGTTAATACTGATAATAGTTTAAATTAAATTGAAAAACATTGTTATTATTCTGATTCTGATTATTATTGTTATTATTACCTGTTGCTCCTGCATGAATGTACATTACCCAAATTTTATTTAAAAACGTTTTACTTTTGTTGGAGTTTTTTTGTTCCGATGGGCTAGGCCTCACGGCAAACTATTTCAAAGACAGATTCCCTGAGTTCCTGGCCTGCAAAGTTCCCTCTTCTGTGTGGCATGAACATGTACCCGACTGTAAAAATTAATTTAATCCATAAACAGAAATGTGTAACGAGGTGGTAAGGCTCAACTTGCACAGTAATTTTGCACCTGAAGGAAAAAAGGAATGCAAAATAATGATGATGATAGCATTTATGGAATATATTCTATAAGTATAAAATATAAATACATATAAATATATTTAGAGAGAGTTTATCTTTGTTTGTTGGCATGTTGCCTTGTTCCTGCTTCAGTGGCTCAAAATACTTTGATTTATTTATGTCTTAAAGAGAATGTAATTTGTTTACAACCTCATAGAGATAAACTTCCTGGTTTCTACAAGGAGGCAAGCTCAGAAGGACCAGAGCGGTGTTGGTGTGTTAATACTAAAAATAACCATGTGGTGGAATTTGCCTGCTATCTTGTCAAATATTGTAGATATTTTAAGAGGATCAACGAACAAAAAGAAACCAAAATGTCATGGGATACGTAGTAAATGTGGAATCTAAGTATTACTCTGTATGATTGTTGGGATCAAGTTGGAGTAGCTTGTCACTGTATTTCTAAACAGAGGCCTCCTTTTTCTGACAGGGGGAATATTTAATTCTTTTTTCACTACTTATACTTCTCTTTTTTGTTTTGTTTTGTTTTGTTTTGTTTGTGTCAGTGCTGACCTGGGGTCAGGGCTCGAGTCAAAGGCTGATATCAGGACCTTTCCAGTGAACTGTCGTCTAGATATATCTGCTTGTTCAAAGAACTTGTTGTTTTAAAAAATATGTGTGACCATCATGAGGTTGCAGTTGAGACATATTATACATTTGCAGAGGTAGGCTATATTTGGCTTACTTGTGCCACATGGAGATCAGACTTCTTTTTTGTTTGGAACATATAGATTTTTTCCACAGTTTCGTTTTCTCTGGCAGAGAATTACAACACAAACGGAATGTCGCTTTGACTCTTTTTCAATATACAAAAAAAGGAAGATTCATTTCTGCACTATCTGGTTATGAATGAAAACTTCTGTGGTGTAATTCTAGATGTGCTTTTGTGTGTTTTAACCAAGCTTGTCTTCCTACCGTCACAGAATATACAATACTCTAGCATCTCAACTGTACTCACTAGTTGTAAACTATTTATTGTGCTTTAACCAATCAGACATTACTGGAGAGTTACATACAGAAGGCACATTTACCCAGTCTTATTGCACTCAGACGGCAAGGCCACATAACTAGCCTGTACTATTGTTATTTCTATTACTAACTGAAGTCATTGGCAAGCATGAGCTGATAGGCTCCTTATGCAACTTGAAAAAAAAAATTGACAATTTTTCTACTTAAAAATAAATCCTATACACTGCTACAAGTATATACAATAATTTATCCCAGCAGTTGTCTTTTTTCCTTTATTTTTATTAATATCCTCCTCCACTGTCATTTCCCAGTCGCTCCATTCATTTGGAGAGGATGCACAAGCTTTACCAGTCAGCTCAGGCGTGTTGAAGAAGTAACAAGGACCATTTATTTAAGTAAAAAAAAAATCACAGTCTGGATATTGATATTCTGCTTAGAAGCAGTTGATTTATTTTGTTTCCTTTCCAGTGTTTGACAATTGACTATTTGTTTATTTGTCTGTAAAAACAATTTTAAACAATAAAAAAAGACATAACAGCGACAATAGCATCTTCAATTAAAACAAAAAAACAGCAACCTCAAAAAAAAACAAAAAAAAAACAAAACAACTTATGCCAACATTCTCAAGCCACTGCTTTACATCCAAGAGTTTAAGAATAATCTTTGTAAATATAGCTACGAGTCCACTGAGGACAGAAACTCCATGAGGACTGGGGTGAAAACAGGAACTCTTCCTGACTACATCTACCATCATGCACCACAACGAGTCATACTGTCAACGCAGCTTTTTGGCTGTACGTCATCAGTCAGTGCTCCTGTCAGAAACGCTAAACATTGCGATTACACCCAAATGATAACGTGTTGTAACAACCAATAAGTATGTTGATGATGACACCGATGATGATGCTGATGCTGATGATAATGATAGCGATGATATCAATGATACTTCTTGCAATATACTCACCTGCCTTGATGTACTGTATTTAGCAGCATGCAGTTTGTGGAACAAAGAAAAAGAGAAATGCCAACAGATAACTTTTTGGCATACTTAGCCATTCATGGGTAAGTGATTTAAGTGTTCATCTTGTTTTATGATTTTTTTTTATCTATACAATAATTGTAAATAAAGAACTCAATGTCCTTGTTCATTTAATACTATGCAAAAAGTCACGCTTTTCTGATTGTTACCTGCCCTTAATCCTAGAGTGTGTTGCCGGAATGTTTGTGGTCTCAAAAGTCAGTAAACACAATGTGATGTAAATTATTTTCTAGCTTGAGTAAAAAGTTAAATGACAATAACATAATATTATTATGATACTATGAGGATAAGGATGATAATAGTGGTGACAATGATGATGATGATGATGATGTTGATGATGATGATGATGAACTGTGAATCTTGCTGCTTGACTGTCCCACCCTCCTGACAGGAGCGCAAGTGCGAGACACAATAAAAACAAAAACAAAACAAAAAAAATGCAAAGTTACTAAATAAATCTCCCAGAGCAGCATGACCCAGCATGGTGTGTCCTGGCCCCGTGTGACGTCTTCTGATTCATTGTGCTTCACCTAATGATTTCCACTCTGACTTTGTTTTTTCCATCTTCCGTGATTTGTTTCAAAAGGTTCTGCTTATAGCAAATGTTTTCATGTTCCAGTTTAATTGTCAAAAAAGCTCATACTGTAATGCTTTCTGCTGAGCTCTTAAAATGAGGCATCTTTGGGGGTATCCTGGTAGCCAAAAGGTTCAAGCTGGTGACCATGTGTAGTAATGAGAGCATCTGTGCTTCAAGGCCAGTTGATGACATTTGCTTTCCATCTCTTTCCTTTCCTCTCTGTCCGCTTTCTAGTAGAGGCATAGAAAACACTTGAAAAGTTAAGTTTGGTAGAGTCGAATCATTTTAAGGATAAGGATAATCACCTTTATCTAGAGAGACACAAGACTACAATCACTCTATGAGGCTGCAGGCACAGTGGTGCTCTGAGGTCAGTGTTAACATCAGCATGCTGATGTTTAGCAGATGTGTAATAATTACCATCGTCACCAATAGTTTAGTGTGTTAGTATGCTAACATTTACTAATTAGCACTAATTATGGTACAAAGTATACCTGAGGCTAATGGCGATGTAGATGATGATGGTTCTAGAAGACAACTTGAGGGATCACCACAGTTAGTACAAGTCATCCTGTGGGGGAAAATATTGTCTGTAACAAATTTCAAGGGTAATCCATTCAGTAGTTATTGACATTTCATTTGAAACCACAACCTCAAGGTAGCGCTGTTGAAAGATTGCCAAATAGCAATTAGCATGCTGCACATCTCGCTAGACAGTAGTGATTACACTGAGGGTGACACTACTGAAGTTTCAGCTGGGTGAAATACATCAACATGGAAACATGGAAAATACATGTTGATGTTTTAAGAACATCAGACAGTAGCACTGACTTAATCTTCTTTTCCATTTGATTTAAAATGGGTTATGTCTGCCAGTAACCGTATGATTTTAGACTGTGAGCTTTGTTGAGTCTGAACATCATTTAAATGAAAAAGCAGTGCACAAATCTGCTGAGTATGTAAAGCTGACTGCATGCTCCAAAATTTTGTCAAGCACAAGCAGTTTTGCCCTAATGGATGGAAATTGGTGCCAGTTTTTTTTTTTTTGTGTGTGTGTCACTCATTTTAGTCACTTAGACATACTGTAATTATTAGCTTGACTAGATGACAGATGGGGCTTGTTGTGTAACAGAAAGGTTATAAATAAAAGTGTTACCTACTGTAAACGTGGAACTCCACAGGAGGGCAGTATTTCACTGGGAATACTGTATGTGATTACAACATTGCATTCATGTAAAAATCTTTGTCATCATCAAAGTTTTTTTTGTAAGACAAATGTCATCATGATTTGGTCTTGTCATTCTAAAGGCACTTACAGTAGATGCCTAAAGACTCTTGAGAGTGGTATGTTGGAAACAGATGAGGCAATGGAATAAGATGTCCTGTGCTTTAAATTCACTTATATTTTTTCTTTTGGTTTTATCATGTCATCCTCTGGAACCTGATTAGGTTAAGCATCAGTGTTGTTCAAAACATGAAGTGGCAAGATTTGTACAGTTGTTCCAACATTGGTCCATGATTTGTAACCACCTGGGAGTGCACACTGAGATGGAGTGTCATAAGCTTTATTTGCTTTCCCTTTAGAGCCCATCCAAGGTTATTTATTGTAAGTATGGTTGACAAGTTTGAAAAAGAATCAGAGTAATTTGAATTTTGACTTCACTGTAATCTAAGAAAAAAGCCAGATGCAATAATAGTGAAATTCAAAGCCTCACACACAATTTCAACTGATTAAATGATAAATTTGTTTTTGGCCAGTTGGTGAATGTTGAGTTGACTTGCTTTCCACCAATTCCTCGGGGAAATATCTGCTAGGTCACAGTGTT